TCCATTGTTCATAGGGTCGCTCTGAGTTGTACTTGACTCAACAGCATCAAACAACAAGAAGGAAGCTCTAGTGGCCTCGTGGTAAGGAGTTGTGCTGCCAACCCAAAGGCAGGAGGTTAGAATCCAGCAGATGCTCCCAGAGAGAAGGATGACCAATCTCCCGTTTGATTTACAGCCTCTGAAAACCCACTTAGAGGAACAGCTATGTGTTGGTTCCAACTTAACGACATATAACAACAATATAACTAATGAGATTGCTAGATAAAATGATATTTCTGTTCCCTGCTTTCCAAGGAAGCACCAGATTGCTTTCCGTATCCATTGTACCATTTTATATTCCCATTAGAAGCGTATAAGAGTTCTAATCTAAAAAAAAAAAAGAAAAAAGAGTTCTAATCTCTCCACATCCTTGCCAGCATTGATTGTTTACTGGTTTGTTGACCTTTACTGTCATTGCTGGGTTGAGATAATAGCTTGTTGTTTTGATTTGTATCTCCTCCTTTGCAATTTAATGTCTCTGAAAACTCAGAGGGTCAGCTATGAGTCCATTCCAACTTGATGGTACACAACAGTAGCTAATATAGGAGCTCTGGTGGCCTAGTGGTGGGGAACCACGCTGCCAACATAAAGGGACACGGTTCAAATCCATCAGCTGCTCTGAGGAAAAAAGATGAACTGTTTCATCCTATGTGGTGCACTAGCTCTGCAAACCCACTGAGAGTCAGCCATGAACTGGTCTGACTCAGTGGCACAGAACCATGGCATTTCTTCATCTGAATGTCTTTTGGTGAATTGTCTTTTCATGTCCTCAGCCCAGTCTGTAATCAGGTCGTGTTCTTGTTGTTAAGATCTTGGAGTTTTCTGTAAGTTTTAGAGATGAGTCCCTTGTCAGATGTGTCATTGCCAAATACTTTTTCTCAGTCTGTGGCTTCACTTTAGAGAAGTCTTCAGATGTTCTTAAGAATTTAAGTTTTAGGAAGTCCTAGTTTACTTACTCCTCTGCTGTTTGTGTGATTTCAGTTCTATTTGATAGTCTGTTTATACCGTAGGTGGTTGTTACGATGTGCCATTGAGCCACAACCAGTTTTTTTTTCCAGAAAAGGATATTTTTTATTCAAGTAACTGCAAATAGGAAACCAGAGGGGAGCCCCAGGCTGGGACAAATAATGGCTACCCCCTCCCCAACAGAACCAGGGGAGAGGGTGTACCTACATCCTGACCGATCAACACGTGCCACCCCACCTCACTCTGCTGCAGCATCCTAGGGGCAGGGCCCCACCTTCCCTGGGTCTGGGGTAATGGTAACCCAGCATGTTGTGCCCCAGCCCCTTCCCCTTGATGAGCATCTTGGGGAGGAGTGTGGTACAGGGGGAGGCAATGAGGATGGACATTTGGCACTGGTAGCAGCAGCAGTGATGATGGATGTCTAAGAATGAAACATTGAACAAACAAACAAATTAAACAACCCAACACAACTGTCCAGAGGTAGTTTGTGAACAGAGGAAAAGATGGAACCAGAACCTTGGGGGTTGGGGAGGAGCAGGAAGGGTGGGAGTGGATAAGGCTAGCTCCTGTGTGTTAGTGCCCCATTTGAAGAATGGAGAAATAAACCTAGAGTGGTAGTAGATAGTGTGTGTGTGGTGGTCCCAGACCACCTTAAAGTAGCTGCCCCAGGGAATCCTGCGCCTCCTTGAGCCCACTATATAAATGGTGGCTTAGGACCCCCCACCAGAAGGAGGAAAAGGCTCAAATCCCTGCCCTCATGAGTCCCAATGGAGGGTCACTGTCCAACCTAATAAATGAGGAAGGTGTGAGACCCATCTGGTGACAGGTTGGGACACACTCAGGCCAAAGTCCCCCTTCATTGGTCACACCTGCTGCTACCAGTAAAGTTCAGTGGGGGACATGTCAGAATATGGGGTGCTTGGGCCCCTTTAAGGCCAGGGGAGTCCATCCAGGCCTCATTAAAGGGAGCCAGAGGGAAGAGCAGAGGGACCCAGACAGCAATGTCCCCATCAGAGAGGATGAGGGCACAGCAGATGCAGGTGCGGCTAAGTGGGCATTAGCCTTGTCCAGGAGGGAAGGGGTGGTGTGTGCTCGCTCAGAAGGAATCACTGGACACTGAACTGAGGGAAAACTGCTCCCCACTCAGCTGTGGGGGGCCCTACAGCGCTGGTGTGCTGTGTAGTGTGTGGTGTGAGGCGTAGGAGGTGGTGGTGCCTGGGAGGGGTTGGCGATGCGTGGGCCTGGGGGCAGTAATGGGGGTGTGGGAGCGGAGCAAAGCTGTCCAGCCTCGGAAGGAAACGGCTCCTTGGGTGGGAGCAGGCTGCATGGTGCGTCTGTCACTGCTCCTCCTTGGAGGACTCCTGCGAGATGCCTTCTTCTTCCTCCTTCTCCAGTTTTTTTGGGTCTGCCTCTTGGTTTCCTCCCTGGAGCTGTGGTGGTTTTCCGGGTCTTGGCAGCACCCTTGTCTTTGCTTGCCTTTGGTCGGCCCCGAGGTCTCTTAGGTGTTGGCACTTCGCTGGGCTCCTTCGGAGGTTGTTTGCGTGGCCTACCCCGACCTCTCTTCTCAGTGCCATCCTTTTCCTGTTTGGAAGCCAAAGGCTGGCTGGACTTTGAGCTTGATTCGCTCATCTTCCTTTCTCAATGGAGCTGATGGAGAGATGGCTGGGATGCGCGAGCTCGGCCGCCGGCCTGTGGTGCGCGCTCTGGGCTGCCGGGAGCGACGGTGCTGTGCACTGAGGACCGGCCTGCCGGACCCTCCAGGCTGAGGACCCGCCTGGCTCCGCTGACGCTGGTAGCAAATGCGGATGCCTTCTTGGAGCTGTGCCAGAGCCAGAAATAGCCCCGGCTTGGAGTCCCAATTAGAGGAGCGCAGCCCCGGCTCAGGGGAGCTTAAAAAGAGCGACCCAGGGGCAGGGGGGGACGGGCCCACCCGGGCCAGCCATGTCACTACGCGGGGCGGGCGAGCCACAACCAATTTATCGCTGACCCTCCACCAGGTTTTAGGAAGCTGTAAATCACATGAGAGGAGATAACCCACTTTTTTCCCCAAGAGCAGCTAATAGATTTGAACTACGTGCCTTTGGGGTCGCAGCAAAACTCCTTTCTAACTAGGCCACTAGAGTTCAGGAAAAGGTGTTGAATTCTGTTAAATGCCTTTTCTGTATCGATTCAGATGATCATGTGTTTTGTTTCCTTTGTTTTATTGATGAAGTGGTTCACACTGATTGCTTTTTAATATTTAACCATCCTGTATGTACATATGACTCTACTCTGTGGCCCTCAGGCCTATTCTTAATTGTTTCTGGTGAAACATTCTTCTAGGTCGTGTAACCCTGGTATGTCCACTTGCTGTACAGAGGTAACTCATGGTTACTTTGAAGCTGAACACTGTGACACTGAGGAGTCAAATGCGAGAATGGTTACCCATGGTGGACGGCGTTTGGTGGAGCTCCCTAATTAAAACAAGCTTAGAAGCAGGAGTAACATCCACTTCCGAAATAGCTTGCCTCTGGAAACCCTATGAACCTAGAGAAAGGATGGAAGTCACAAGTGTTGAGGACTTTCATTCATAGGGTCGCTATGAGTCGCCTACAACTTGACGACACTTAACAACAACAACAACAACAACAATATATATACCTGGTACTAAATCCCACTTGATCATGATGAATGATAGGAGTTTGTGGTGGGTTGTTGTTTGTTTTGTTTTGTTTTTTCCCAAATATGATGTTGGATTCTACTGGCGAGTAGTGTGTTGGTGATTTTTGCATTTATGTTTATAACAGATATTTGAGATCATTTCAAGTTTTGATGCATTAAATTCTAAAGACAGGCAAGTTGTAGAATGACCAGAAATACCCCCCATACATGAGGAAAGTAAAAGGTAATAAAATGATGAGAAAAAAGAAGACCAAAATGAATATCAGAGGAGACTCTGAAACTTGCTCTAGAACATAGAGAATCTAAAGTAAAAGGAAGAAACGATGAAGTAGGAGACCTAAAGAAACAATTTCCGAGGGCAGTGCGAGACAACAGAGCGAAGCATTTTAATGAATTGTCTAAATATTTGGAGAAAGCCATGCTCTCTATTTCTCAAGCAGAAAACACTAAAGAAAAAGTCTTAATAAGATCATTAATAACATGCAGACGTGAAATCTCTCTGAAGGTAATTAAAAATGAAGATAATTCAACCGGGAACGATCAGAAATTCAAGGTGGATTCAGAAGAGGCCATGGTACAAGGGATATCTCTGCTGATGGATCTTGGCTAAAAAGCAAGAAATAACAGAAAAGTTTGTGTTTTATTGACTTGGCAAAGCATTCAACTGTGTGGGTCATAATAAATTATGGATAACTTTGTGAAGAATGGGAATTACAGAACATTTCATTGTGATCATGTGAAACTTGTATATGGATCAAAAAACAGTCTTTTGAACAGAATAAGGGGGTAGTACATGATTGAAAATCAGGGAAAGTAGGCATCATGGTTGTGTTTCCGTAGTACTTATTCAAGCTGTATGTTGACCAAGTAATTCAATAAAGCATACTATTCTAAAGAATGTAGCATCAGGACTGGAGGAAGAGTCATCAACCGCCTGCGATATGCAGATGAAACAACTGTATTTGCTTACAGTGAAAAGGATTTGAATAATTTTCTGATGAAAGTCAAAGACTATAGCCATCAGTATGGATTATGTCTCAACATAAAAAAACAGAACAACACCCTCATAAGCTGGACCACTCAGCAATTTTATAATAGATAAAGAAACAATTGATGTTGTCAAGGATTTTATTTTACCTGGAACAACAACCAACACTGGAAAAAGAAGTCAACAAGTGAAATGACTTATTGCAACCAGCAAATATGTGGCCAAAGACCTAAAGACAAAAAGTTCTAAAAAAGCAGAGATGTCAACTTTAAAGACATGTGCCTGACCGAAGCCATAGTGTTTTCCATTTCTTCATATGTTTGTAAAAACATGGTCTGTGAGTAAAGAAGGCTGAAGAACTAATGTCTTCAAATTGTGGTTTGGCAAAGAATATTGACTACACCATGTACTGTGGAATCCTTCACTGTTGCAACTCAAGGCTTCAAGTTGTTCTTCAGTTCTTTCAGCTTGAGAAATAACAACGTGCATTTCTTCCTTTTTGGTGTCTTGCTCCTTGTACATTTCATGGTGATATTTTGCTTTATCTTCTTAAACTTCTCTTTCTAATGTTCTGTTCTTTTGTTTTATTAAATTTTATTAATTTTAATGAACATTTACAGAGATTTTGGGTTTCCATTCATTCATTGTTGCACTATTTGTTCTGTTCTTTTGTATTAGCATTCCTTCCCCTTGCTGTGGCTTTTTTTTCATTCCAGTCGAAGTTTTAGAGTCTTTTTCTGACACCCATTTTGGTCTTTTCTTCCCTGTCTTTATAATAACTTCTTGCTTTTTTCATGGCTGATATCCTTGATACCATACCACAGCTCTCAAGTCTTTGGTCATTATTGTTCCCTATGTCAGATATATTCTTAAGATTGTTTTTAAATTCAGGTGGAATACACTCAAGGTCGTATTTTTATTCTCATGGTTTTGTTTTCATTTTATTCAACTTCAATTTGAATTTGCATATTAGTAGTTGATGATCTGTTCCACAGTCAGTTCCTGGTCTAGTTTTGACTGTTGGTATTGCGTTTCTCCAATATTTCTTTCCATGAGTATAATCAGTCTGATTTCATCTAAAATCTTGAATGATGCAAGAAGCATCAAAAGAAGATGGAAGGAATACACAGAGTCACTGTACCAAGAAAAATTGGTCAACCCTGAAATGTTTTAGGAAATAGCAAGTAATCAAGAGCCAGTAATACTTAAGGAAGAAGCCCAAGCTGCACTGAAGACAATGGTAAAGTAAGACAGGACACACACACACACACACACACACACACACACACCCAGAGATTGATGGAATGCTAATTAAAGTACTTCAGGAAACAGGTGTAATCCTGGACATGCTCACCTTGTCTTTACCAAAAAATATGGAAGACAGCTGCCTGGCCAAGTGACTGGAAGAGATCCCTATGTGTTCCCATTCCCAAGAAGGGTGATCAAACAGGCTGTGGAAATTATCGAATTAATGTCTTTAATGTCACTTGCAAGTAAAATATTACTAAAGATTATTTTTAAAATGACTGGAGCAGTACAACGACAAGGAACTGCCAGAAATTCAAGCTGGATTCAGAAGAGGCTGTGGCAAGAAGGATGTCATTATTGATATTATATGGAGCTTGGCTAAACACAGAAATTACCAGAAAGATGTTTATTTGTGTCTATACAAAGGCATTTGACTGTGTTGGTCATAACAGATTATATTATGGATAACATTGAGAATAATGGGGAACCCACAAACTTTATTGTGCTCATGGGAAACCTAGATTAAAAAGTAGCTGTCCCAATAGAACAAAAGAATACAGCATGATTTAAAATCAGAAAAGTTATACATCAAGATTGTATCCTTTCTCCATACCTATTCAATCTGAATACTGGGCGAATAATTTGAAAAGTTGAATTGGACTATATAAAGAAGAATGTGGGATCAGGACTGGAGGGAAAGTCATCAATAACCTACAGTATGCAGATGACAAAACTTTGCTTAAAAAAAGTTAAGATTCCAAGCACTTACTGCAGACGATCAAAGAGTACAGATTTCGGTATGAGTTACATCTCAACATGAAGAAGGCAAAAATCTTTACCACTGGACCAACAGGCAGCACTGTAATGGTTGGAGAAGAGATTGAAGTTGTCAACAATTTCATTTTACATGGAACCACAGTCGGTACACTTGGTAGCATCAGTTATAGAATCAAAAGACGTGTTGCATTGGGGAAATCTGTTGTCAAGGACTGTTCAAAAGTACCAAAGAGCAGTCAGAGATGTCCATTTAAAGACTAAGGTGTGCCTCACCCTAAGCCATTATCTTTCCAGTTGCTTCCTACAGTTGGATAGTGATTAAAGAAGCCGCAGAAGAATTGATGTCTTTGAATTGTGGTGCTGTCAGAGAGTATTGACTAGCTCATGGATCTCTCTTGAAGGAGGTACAACCAGGATGCCCATAAGGGACAAGCATGGTGAATCTGAATCTCGAGAACTTTCCTTGGGTGGATGTTCAGCAGGATCCAGTCCTTAGAGACGTCATTCTGGGAGTGGTGGGGAGTTGGCGAAAGAGAAGAAGCCCCCAACTCGATGGATTGACAGCGTGACTACCATAGTGGGCTGGGGCTTGACAGAGACCATGAGGGTGGTGCTAGACAGGGCATGGTTCAGAGCTGTTGTTCGCAGGGTCTCTGTGAATTGGAGTCAATTCTAATGCACCAAAAAGAATAAGCAAATCTGTCTGAAGAGAAGTGCGGTCAGAGTGCTCCTTAATAAGAAAGTGGAGATTTCATCTCACACACTTTGGTCATGTTATCAGAAAGGGCCTCTCCCTGGAAAAGGACGTCATACTTGGAGATCAGGGCAACATGCTAAGGACTGTGTTACCATTGCTCCTTAGGACATTATACCTGTTAAGGTTACAGGGTTAGCAAAGGAGAGGCAGCCTCTCTGGGAGACATTTTGTCACAGTGACTTTAAGCACAGCAGAGATTGGGAGCTAGCACATGCTATGAGTCCGCACCAACATGATGTGACCTAACCACAGAGGACAGTCTGGCTGTGATTTGCAGCTGCCTCAGGACGCGCTGACAACCCAGGAAGGCTCTCACAGACTTTCTGGAAAGTAGGCGGTAGTGAGACATAGTGATTCAGAACGATGAACTTTGGAAGTCTGTCGTTCCCCAGGTTTTTTCCTCCACTATGTGACCTTGAACACATTTCTTAATTTTCCTAGTCTGTAAAATGGGATTAATGGCATTTTTCCCTCTTAAGGCAGTTGTGAAGATTATATGGGACCAAACATGTCAAGAACATGTGACAGGTGCCGGACACCTGGTCAGGGCTTAAAATAGTGGGGCTTATTAATAAACACCCCAAGGGAACCCTGTCTGGTCTCTGCAATCCAAGGTCTGAGTGTCTTTAAGTAACCACCTGTTGCTTTTCTCTCTGCTCAGGGTATCAAGAAACCGTTCACAGAGGTCATCCGCGCCAACATTGGGGACGCCCAGGCCATGGGCCAGCAGCCAATCACCTTCCTCCGACAGGTGAGCTGGCTCTCGGGAGCAGAGGCTGCGGGGAGGGCAGGGACCCAGAGGCTGGGAGGGCTTGTGGGCCAGTCCGCACCTCTCGCCTCTGCCCTGTCCGTCTAGTTCTCTGGATGTAGCAAGCATGAGAATCCCATGCGGTCTCACTGTTGAGGTGGCAACCTCCACACCACCCCTTCAATTGCACGGTTGTCTGAAATCTCTGAACCTGTTTTGGGGTTGATATAGTATAAAAGGTTCTCAGGCTGTCCTCCTCCACGATTCAGGATTCTTGGCTAGGTTAGGAGCTAATTGGCTCTGGGGTTAGCAAGTAGCCCAGGGGAATCGTAATGCCCATTGGATTGAGGGCTGGGTGTGGTGGCCAAGATGGCAGATTCCTGAGTCATGCTGGCCCAGGTCGGAGTGTACGCCCAGTGACTGCACAATAGGGATGAGGCAGACCTGCTGAAGGGCTCATGTATGCATGCGTGAGTCTCCCCAGTGCCCGTGCTTGGGGCCAGCTGGGAACTGAGTCAGTGGTGTGTCTGCTAACTGCTACACTTCTGGCTTTTTCCTCATGAGGCCCAAGCCCTAGAGGGAGGTGAGTTTCATTGTCTTAGTTCGGGTACTAGCCATAGGAGAGTGACAGATAACCAGGGTTGGTGAAGGCCATCAGGCAGCCTGACAGAGACCTGAGACCAGGTCGTGCCAAAACCTCTTCCTGAAGCTGGTTTTGAAAGGAAATGCAGTCTCTGTGGGTATGACTCACTGGGATGGCAGGCAAGGACAGCACCCTGGCTCTTTTGTCCCTGCTCATGTACCTACTCTAGGGGCCTGTCACAAGGAGACACAACCCCATATTGCTGCGTGGTTTGGGGGTCTCCCCCAGACTGAGGAGAGCCTCTGCCACCAGTGCCTATGTGGGAGTTTGCGTAGGCTGTGAGGCTGGAAGCAAGACTGGCACCAGTCTGAGGGCTGTCCACTCTGCTTCCCTCCCCAATTCCCATGACCCCTCCTGTTGACCCCAGGAAGGTCCCAGCTGCCATGATAAATCAAGTCCTCAAGCTGGGGCCTGGGTGGGGAAATGGATCAGACCAGCAGAGCTGTGAAGGAGAGAAGTCCGAGGACTTCATGAAAGCAGGTCACAGGCACCATCGGTCTCAGGGTACAAACAGGTGCAGCCATCTTGGTACCTCCTGGCCGGCCTTTTTCCAGATCCAGCTTCAGTGCCCACAGCACACCTCTTCCTGCCAGGTGTTCTCACACCTCCTCTAGTCTTCACGGCACTCCTACCTGCTGGGTAGACCAGCCTGGGGACCCACCAGAAGCTGTCTGGCTGGGCTCAGAACCCAGAGACCTGGCTTCCTTGGTGTTCGTGGGCCAGTCCTTCTGCTGTGCTGGTGTGGACTTGTCCCCAAGCTGAGTTGACAACACCTTTGCACATGTTTCTTGCTTAATCTTCTTGATTTGTGGAGTAAAGGTGGTTTTCTGTGAACAGAGATGAGGAAGTGGGCCCAGCTTACAGTTCCGACAAGGAATAGGGTGATGAGGTGAAGTCCAGGAGAAGGGAGGGTGCAGAGCTCAGGTTATAAGGAGGGATCTGGACAGTCCTGCTTTTTTGGGTTGGGGTCTCCTGTCCCCACAACCCTGGCCCCTGGATGTATGAGCTGCAGCCCTCAATGAAAGGCCGGGGCTATGATGAGGCCCAGGCCAAGGCATCGTAGTGGCTGTGCCCTCCCGGTGCCTACCTGAGGGCTGTAGAGACCATGACATCTTCCTCCCAGCCCCTATTCCTCTGGTCCCTGTCCTGAGCACTCAGAGGGAGGTTTGCTGACCCCCAGAGTTACCATCTTCCCCGCTACGCCCTGCCCAGTGACCACTGCACCCCTTCATCCACTCTGGGGATGGAGTGCTGGAACCAGCCCGTGCCTCTGTTCTCCCAGGTTATGGCCCTCTGCACCTACCCTAACCTGCTGGACAGCCCCAGCTTCCCAGAAGACGCTAAGAAACGCGCGCGGAGGATCCTGCAGGCTTGTGGCGGGAACAGCCTGGGTGAGGCTCAGACTTGCCTGATCCACAGGGACGTGAACACCAGTGTTTCCTGGGGGGTGATCGGCATGCGTGTGTCGTGTGGGGGCCAGCCACGTGCAGCGTGCACAGAGCCGAGTTCCTGGAGGCCAGGCCTCGGCTGCCTCTGGCTCGCCCAGCGGACGGTGTGAAAGCAGCTTTTCATGGTTGGGGGAGCTCCAGGCACAAGGGACTGTGTTTCGCTGGATTTGGGTTTTAGGGCTGGGAGCCAGCTTCAACAGAGGAGCTTTCCGTCAGCACAGCCGCTTGACCACAAGGGAAAGCAAAGGGGCCTCTGTGTTGAGGGTCCCCCCTGGTGCCCCAGCACACCACCAGGTCTCGCTTAGGGGGCCAATTGTGGGGGAAGGGAAGCATCTGAGTCCTCAGATTTTCCCCCTGTTTTGAATTTAGAATGTATTTATCATTTCATTAGGGATAAAAAGTGAAGAATTTTCCTTTTCTCTAGATCAGTTTCTTTTAATTGTGGTAAACCCATTTTCACAAGTTTGACATTTTGGAAACTTTCACGTGTACAGTGACATGAGGTATGTTCATGTATGATTCAGCCGTGACCCTTCCCTGTCCTCAGATTGCACCATCCCCTTAACAGAACATTGCCGTCAGGTCAAATTGGACCCATAACGACTGCCCACTGGGTTTCCGAAACTATAAATCTTTAACGGAAGAGACATTTTCCCCCTGAGGAGCAGCTGGTGGATTTGAACCATAGACCTTTCAGTCAGCAACACATGGAACACATTAAGCTGGGAACACACAGGGCTCTAGAGAAGAAACCCAGTACCCCCCTCCCCCAGCATTTACGATCCCTTTTCAGGGTTTCCCCCAGCCCAAATATGGGGTTACTTTTCTACTTTACTGGGTTCCCATTACCCTGTGAAGGACCCTTACCCAGCTCACTGCTCCCCTTACGTAGTGTACCAAGCGCAGGAAGGCTTCACGCAGGGACTGGGAATTTGGCCCCGCAGCTGTGAAAACGATACTCTTCTCTCCCTTCCCTGCTGAGATTTCCAGTTACGAGCTGCTGGCTCTTTGTTCTCATCTCATTTTCTTTTGTCTGTTTATTTTTGCCCCGCTCCCTCACCCAGCGCCTACACTGGGAATCCAGCACCCCTCGCCTGAGGGAAGCCCATTGTTCTTAAAAGCTTTTTTAGGACATGTGCCCTAATGTTCCGGCACAAGGCACTGAAAGGGAAGCTGATGCCTCACTCAGCAGGGGAATGGCCTTTCTCACTTCCTTGCCTTTTTCCACTCCCTGCTCTGCCCTATATTGAGAGCCCTGTATTTACCTTCTTGGCTGTGGTCACCTGCCAGCCATCCAAGTCTGGGCACCCTCCTCAGTGGTGTCCCTCTCCAGAAGGGGCCAGCCTGGGTGGCATGTGGGCAGATGCCTAAACCATAGTTTGGCAGACACAGCCCAACAGCAAGAGGGACTCCACACCCTCTGCACAGCCCTGAGGAGAGAGCTACCTGTCCCAAGCTTCATGGCGTGGGCCTGAGACTTCTGGAAGCCTATCCAGAGGAAGAGGTGAGGGAGCTGGCCTTCTGACTTGGGTGGCTGGGCTCAGAGAGGGAGTGTGAGTCTTCCTCTGTGCGGAGACTGAATCATGAAGTCTTTGCAACTCTGCCAGCCAGGGATGGACGGGAGGAAATGTTCATGTGAGTCCCCTCTAGAGGAATTGTAACAGGACAGACGGCCTGTGGGATTTGGGGAACCTGCACCTAATTCTGTCCCAGGAGCGCATGCATACAGTTAATGTGAGGTAGGTATGCCCTGAGCCTCCTCCTCTGTGACTTTGGATTACTTTGTACCCACTCTCTGGGCTTGCTGAGAATGGCTCAAGCTCCTTATCGTGTGTGGAGAAGCCTGGCCTGTTAGCAGGGAGAGTGTGGTCTCTTCCCATGGCAAGGACACAGCCTGGGCACCTGCCCACAGAAGTGAAGGGAAACGGAAAATGTTTGTCTGTATCCTCCAAGACCACCTTGACCCAGGTAGAGATTAGTAAATGTATTTACACTGAGCCTGGAAACTTGCCCAGGGCTTGTTTTACCCTGCTTGTTAAGATCTCTTGGAGTTTCCTTTCTTTTCAGCTTAGCTGGTTCTTTTGTATCTCAGATCTTAAATAGGGTCTAGGTGAAACCCAGCATACACCTGAGTGAGGAGAGAGCCATGTCCAGCCCCTCCCAGGCACTGTGGAATGGTAGGAGCAGGAACTGATAAAGCTCAGTGGCAGATTTGGGGAAAACAGACATTCAACATAACTTAATCAACATAACTCATCCAAATATAGGACCCATGGTTTAGCTCTCTGTAGGTTCCAAGGTCTCTGTAGGAGAGCTTAAGAAAAGGCCAGAGAGCTCTGGGATTATAACAAGGGATTCTAATGTAGAGGGAGATGCTTAAGAAGAAAGTGGCAGTGAGACTCAGATCTCAAGTATGAGAAAGCCAGCAAATGCTCGCCAGGATCAGGGAACAGCATGTGCCAAAGCCCTGGGGCTCGGGGACTGAGTCTGACTGAATGAAGTGGAAGCCAGGGTGTAGCAGCTGAGATGAGAGTGGACAAGTGGCAGTCGTGTCCATGTGTAGTTTCTGGGAGGCAGGATGGCCTTCAGTGTCAGGGCAGGGTGGGGCCCAGCAGCGGGCTAGTGCTCTTGGAGAAATAAGCAGTGGGCCCTGTCCTCTAGGAAGTCCAGTTGTGGAGGTAGGTCTTCCTCTGTAATAAGGAATTGAATCATCTATAGGCCAGGAAAGGGGTTAAGAGTAGGGTGGGGTTGTTACAACAGCCCCCTCTGGAGACAAACTAGATTTGAACCTTTAAGGATCAGTTAATTTGAAGCAAGAATAAACTTGGACTCACCTTAGGACAGAGATCTACAGGAGCTTGCCATTGGCAAAGGCCGGGGAATTCAGGTAGGATTGAGGGAGGAAAGAGAAAGGCCTAGGCTGAGGAGGGGCGAAAAGTCCTCATGGATGGAGCAGAGTGGAAGGCATGGGAAAACATTCCAGGAGCCCTCAAAGTCTGGCATTTACACTTCCTTCCATTTTTAAATTCACAAAATATTCCTGACATTCAAATACCGAAAATAATGTGTCAAAGCCCTTGTGCCTACTTATAAAGATTTAACACGTGTTACTATTAGCCATTGGCACATTGAGTATTGGTCTAGTTCCCTCATTTTACACCTGGACAGGGAGTGGGTCCAATGCTGCACAGTGAGGCGGAGGCAGAGCAGTGCTTCCTGCATCCTAGGCTCTGATTTGAGGGCAGGACCCATAGAGGGGAGCTCTGGTGGATTAGTCCACAGGGCGTAACTCAAAGGCGGCCCTTCTCTGCCAGTTTGAATCCACCAGCAGCTCTGAGGAAGAAGGACACTCTCCCTGCATGCATTTTTTAAACTCACTGAAGGGTAAGCTATGCGTCCATTCCAACTTGACAGTAATGAGAGAGAGAAAAAAAAGCAGGAAAGTAGATCAGTTTTCTTTAAGCACAGTATAATATCTAAAGTTATAAAAGATGAAAAGAAATCTCCCACCCATTTCTTACTCCAGGTCTTCTGGTTCACCTCACCAGAGAATGCACCTCAACAGCTAGAGTTCCCTTCTGGGGAGATTTTATACATGTACAAACACTTTCTAATTCTTTTTAAAAGCATAAATGGTGAGCTGACATTTTAAAAACTTTTCACTGAGGTGAATAACGGAGTAAAGGGCAATATACAAATGAACAGCTTGAGTAACTGTTTCACACGTGCACACTTGTGTGGCCACCACCCAGGTGGATGCATGGAACATTCCAGCACCTCAGAGGCTCTGGCGCCCTCATCCAGTCAACGCCTCAGCTGCCCTCATGGCCGCTTTTCAGACTCCTAGCATCATAGGTTTGCCTGCTTGTCCTGGCTTTTCACCCCACATGGCAGCCTGAGAGTATTGCTGACATGTGGGGTGTGTCCCACAGCCCAGTCTGTGGTCGGTTGATAGTCAGGATCCTGGGCTTTTAGGATGGCTGATCAGGCAGCAGGCAGTGCTATTTGGAGCCCCAAGGGTTAACACAAGTGAGAGATCATGTCTCATGTGTTTTGAAACCATGGACAGGCAGTGGTCCCAGTAAATGCTTAGGAATCCCAGTAATAATGACTTGTTGTCATAGAAAAATGTGTAAACCCTCAGACGCATGAGCCCCGTCATTATTGGTTAGAAACCAGGGCTTAGAATAGTACTTCTAGTAGGTACTGCCGACCCAAAGGTACAAGGTTTGAATCCACCTGCTGCTCCTCGGGAGAAATATGGGCAGTCTCCTCCCATGTTATTTACTGCCTCTGAAAACCTGCTGGAGGGCCAGCTGTGAGTCAGTTTCAATTCGACGGTACCTAACAACAACAAAACAATAACAGATGAATACGGAGCTCTGGTGGCCTAGTGGGTAAGGAGTTGTGCTTCCAAATCCAAAGGCAGGAGGTTTGAATCCACTAACTCCTCTGTGGTAAAGATGGGCAGTCTCGTCCCGTGCGATTTATAGCCTCTGATAACTCGCTGGAGGGCCGGCTGTGAATTGGTTCAGACTGGAAGGTACATCACAGCAGTAGATGAGCGGATGGCTGGGCAGATGGATGGATGGATGAGTGGGTGGTGGATGGATGAGGAGATAAATGAGTGGTGAGTAGACTGAGTGAATGGGTGGGCAGGGTGGTTAATGAATTTATCACAGAGCCTGTGGTAGTGGGAGTCGGGCTCCATCTGCGAGCCACTCCTGGTTAATGAGTGGGACATCCCACACCTTCTGCCGGGCCTGTTCCTGCTTCCTCCAGTCACAGGTTGGCTTGGTGTCTTCCAGGGTCTTACAGTGCTAGCCAGGGTGTCAACTGCATCCGGGAAGATGTGGCTGCCTACATCACCAGGAGAGATGGCGGCGTGCCCGCGGAGCCCGACAACATCTACCTGACCACTGGCGCCAGCGATGGCATTACTGTACGTGTGGGGTTGGCTTGGTGCTCTCCTGCGCTCACCAGAGTGACAGATAACCTTGTATACTTCAGGGTTCAGAACTGGAAGGACGAGTTGGGAGGCAGGTGGGGACAGGGTGTGGCCGCCCTCCGGCCCAACTGCCCTTGATGATGTCTCCGTGGTCCAGACTACTGCGACAACAGTCTGTTTCCGTCCAGTGTGCTCACCAGGAGTCCCTCAGGTGTCCCTATCTGTCTTTTGGCCCTGACATGTATTCCTCCTCTCCCAGACACTGTACCAGCTGCTGGGGTGCCAAACACAGCTGGCATCTGCTTACACACTAGTCTTGGAGGAGACGGCAGTGTACTCCAGAGATACCCCTCACCCCACAGACTTTCCAGTTCACTCCCACAGCGAAGGGCACATTGTGCAACAGAGACAGTCAGGAACACTTCTCCAAGGAAGGCTGAGCAGGGGCCGAAGATCAGCGAGGAATGGAGGAGGAGGGAGCTTGTGCTGGGTAGAAGGTCAACTTGAGCAAAGGCCTTGGGCTCTCAGGACGCGGTGTCTTTTGAGTCAGCATGGATGAGCACACACAGGGAAGGCAGAGTTGTTGGAAATGGGGCTGGGAGGCAGGTGGGGCTGAGTCCAGCAGGGCCTTGGACGCCGCACTAAGGATTTGGGTCCAAAGAGCACCAGGGAGCGGTTGAAGGGCTGAGGCACTTAATTAGATTCACGTTCTTCATTTTCATTACAGCCTAGTGGATTTGACGTAGTGTTTAGGAGGTGAGAGAAAGGTGACTTGGGCAGACTGTTAGCCCATGGACAGAAGAACCAAACTGATTGTCTTCAAGTCAGTTCTGAGGCAGGGTGACCCCATGTGTGGTCCATAGGGTTCTCAGTGACAGACCACCAGGCCTTTTGGTTTTTTTTCTGAAGCACCTCAGAGAGAACTCAAATCTCTATCTTTCAGTTACCTTTAATCTTTCAGTTGCCAGCTGAACTTGCTAACCATCTGTAGCACCAAGAGACTCTAGACAGGAGGAAGAGGGTGGATATCGGTGGTGTGGTGGGAAGTCCTGGGCTTGAGCAGAGGCCTCGGTCCCCTGTCAGCAGCTCCCTCCCCAGCCCAGGTCTGACTCGATGCTGGTGCCCTTCCCTGGTCATTCCCCCAGCTCAGGTGCTACCTGGCCCCTTCTTCCTTTAACACCTTGCCGCAAGTGATGGCTATAGCCGTCCTGCACATTTTAATTAATAAAAAAGGGAACAACATCATTCGTATGGCAGTCATAAGCAATTGAAAAAAAATGTGTTTCTAAGCACGGTCGTCAACTTAAAAGTGTGCGGCAACGTGTTAATGGGCTTTGTCTTCTGGCCACGAAGGACTAGATTTGCTCCTGTTTGTGATGTCAGTTGACATCACATTATTCCTTTTCCAAAGCCTTTCAAATGGAGCCGGGGAGGAAAGTGAGGGTCCAGTGAGGTTAAGTGGGCTGCCTGCTTTCCGTCAGCTTCTTGTGGTTCACAGGATCCTAGGATTGGGGCTCTCTGACCCTGCCCCAGTCTCATCCATTGTGTCCTGCTCTGGGGACAGCTCTCTATTCCCAGAGAGGTCGGGAGGAAAGGAGGGGATGTCAGTGAAAAGAAGCAAGCCATTGTTCATTCTTCCTAACTGAACGGAGCCTGAGAAAGGCTCCAAGCCCGTGTGTGAGCAGGTACTCTCACTGCACAGGGCTTGATTTAACGCTGTGACTTCCCACCTCCCGCCGTGTCTCACAAGATTCCGACGCTCTGCTTCCTCAGGAGACCTGCAGATGTGATCCCCTCAGTTCTGAAAGCAGGTCTCGTTGCCACCTGGTGGTAGTCGGTGGTGTGCCCCATTTTTACTCCTTTTCAATAATCTCTTGTTCAGGAACTTTCCAACCTTGAAAGCTGAATCAGATCCCCGGGCCTCACCCCAAACAGACAGGATGGGGCTGCAGAGGGTAAAAGGCACAGAATAATAATTCCAAGACAGGGCTGACGTGGGGGGATATCTACTTTATGAGAACCCCCAAATGCCTCCTTAAAAGTACTTCCAAGTCCTTAACTGCATGGCACAAGCCGTGCTGAGAACTTTAACACGGTTTATTCCTCACCACTTGCCCCATAGTGGAGGCTGACTGCTGGCAGTGCTGCCTGTGTCAGAGCAGGGCTGTGCTCTCGGGGTTTTCAGGGGCTGATTCTTCAGAAGTTGATTGCTGCCTTTCTTTCAAGATACTTCTGTGTTTTTAGGTGCTGTCAAGGTGAGTGTGACTCACAATAGCCCTGTGAATAATGGATCTGTACTCTGTCCATCCTCATCTCTGACATACTTGAGATCATGGTTACGGTTACTGTTGATCCACCTCCCTGAGGGTCTTCCCCTCTGTCTCTGACCCTTTACTTTTCCACGTGTGATGACTTTTTCCAAGGACTGGCCCCTTCTGACAACATACCCAAAGTGTGTGAGGCGAAACTTCACAGACCTCGCCTCTAAGGCACAGCCTGGCTGCACTTTCTTTTCTGAGACATATTTGTGTGTTCTTTAGGAGCCCAAGAGAATGAATATCCATGTGACTCTTCTTCAACACCACAATCCGAAGGCATCAATCGCTCCTTCTCTCATCCTAATTCACTGTCCAACTTTTGAATTAATGTTTTTGTGTACTGTTGAGTTGGAACTGACCTATAGCTGACACTCTGGTGGGTTTTCAGAGATAAGTAATCACACAGGAGGAGAATGCCCACCCTTTTACCACAGAGCAGCTGGTGGATTCGAACCCTGTGCCTTTGAGATTGCAGTGCAGCTTCTAGCCACTAAGCCACCAGAGCTCCAGGAAGTAATTAAAGCGACCAGAGTTTGAATCAGATGCATCTTAGTCTTTAAACTGATATCATTGCTTGTTCCTAAGTTCTTTGAAGAGTCCTTGACCACAGACCTTCCTAATTCACCACTTCTCCCTTACCTGCTGGTCCCAAGAATGTTGATTATGGATGCAAATAAGATGAAATCATAGACAACATCAGTCTTTTCTCCGTCTGTCATGATTTGGTTGCCTATTGGCCCAGTGGTGAGGACTTTTGTCTTCTTGATGTTGAAATATACCCCATATTGAAGGCTGCCATCTGTTCTTCGGCAGTGGTTCAAGCCCTGTCGGTGGACTCAAACCTCCAAACTTCCATTTAGCAGCCGAGAGTGTTAGCTATTTCGACAACCCAGGGTCTTAGTTGACTTTTTTTAAATTGTTTTTTTTTTATTAATTTTAATGAAAATTTACAGAGACTTTGGATTTCCATTCATTCATTGTTGTATTTTTTTCCCCTGCCCAACCAACTTCTTCCCCCCAACCCACCAGTTCACTCTTCGCTTTGAAAAGTAAAAGAAAAATTCTTTACAGAGGAGACTGAGACTCAAGGGAGTGAAGCAGTGTGTGCAGGGTTGCACTGACCACGGGGAAGAGGTGGGGTTGGGGCCATGTGGCTTGTTTGACCAGCAGCACACCACCACCACCACCACCTCCACCCCCGCCAGGAGCACCAAGGGAGGTGGCCCTCTAGACATGATTTCTCCATTGCAGACGATCCTGAAGATCCTCGTCTCGGGGGGCGGCAAGTCTCGGACAGGCGTGATGATCCCCATCCCTCAGTACCCTCTCTACTCGGCCGTCATCTCCGAGCTCGACGCCGTCCAGGTGAGCTACTACCTGGACGAGGACAACTGCTGGGCCCTGAACGTGAACGAGCTGCGGCGAGCCGTGCGGGAGGCCAAAGACCACTGTGACCCCAAGGTGCTCTGCATCATCAACCCCGGCAACCCCACAGGTCTGTGGTCCACTTCCTGGTCAGTTTCTCGATGGCTAGAGGGTGGCTGGTGAACTGCTGGATGGTGGGGTGCCTTTAGTTCAGAGGTCACAAGTGCGCTTGTCTATGCCAGGTTCCCATGAACTTCAAGGTTTGCTAACAGAAGCCCATGAAATTTGCTACAGGCTGCGTCAGACAATGAATGCACGCAAGGTATTTTCCTGGGCAAGTTTCTATTACTAAGAACTTCACACATTTTGTAAGAAGCCACTCTCTTAAGGTTATTTTGTTGTTGTTATGTGCCGTCGAGTCACCTGCAATTAATTGTGACCATATGTACAACAGCCCTAAACCCTGCCCTATCCCGTGCCAGTCTCACTGTCTCCAACACGCCCACCCCCGTGACCCCAGTCACTGAATCAACCCATCTCATTGAGGGTCTTCCTCTCCTGCACTGTCCCTCCGTCCTCCCAAGCATGACGTCCCTTTCCAAGGACTGGTCCCTCCTTGTAACATGTCCAAAGTATGTCAGACTAAGTTTCAGAATCCTTACTTCCAAGGAGCAGCCCGGCTTCACCCTCTCCAGGACAAATCTGTTCATTCTTTTAGCAGTCCATGGTGTATTCAATACTCTTCTCCAACACCACAGTTCAAAGGGATTAATTCTCCTTCTATCATTCCTAGTTATTGTCCAGCTCTCTGATGCATAGCAAGTGATTGCAAAGACCATGACCATATATCAGGTGCACCTTAGTCTCCAGACTGACATCATTGCTCTTCAGTACTTTAGAGAGGTTTCTAACCACAGATTTTCCCATCGCAACACGTCTTAATTTTTTGGCTGCTGGTGCCAAGAATATTGATGGTGGAGCCAAGCAAACTAAAACCAGACAATTTTATCCATCATGATGATGCTGCCAGTTGGCCCAGTGGTGAGAATTGTCTTCTTGATACTGAGCCTCAATCCGTATTGAAGGCTGCAGTCCCTGACCTCCCACAGCTAGCGCTTCAGGTCCTCCTCAGTTTCAGCGAGCAGGATTGTGATCTCAGGCCTTGTTTACCTGTCCCTGCTATTTGTTTTTCTGAACCGGTTTTCAGAATGCCCGCATGTGCTTTTTCATTTCCCTTCAACACAGGATTGTCATGTGCCTTGAGACCTGAAAAAGAAATGCCATATTAAGAAAACAGAAAGCTGTGTCTCAAAGCGAGACCACCCCCAGTTTTGCATATTTCCCTTTAATGGCAACAACAAGACACAGTCCTGCCTGTTTTGATCTTTCTGGGCCCTGGCTTTGCCCGCCCCCGGTGGTGTTTGGATGCAGAGAACAAGGACTCCTCTCTCTTCCTTTGTTGAGATGAAATTGGGCCCAGGCCAAAACGCGTTGGGGTGATTGTGGAATCTGCGGCTCGGGAACATCAAATGATGCTTCAATCAGCTGGAAGCACCACTTGAATTCCTGAGTACAGAAAACGGGTGCAGCTGGCATCAGAACTAGCTTATTTACCCCAAGTCCTTTGGGGGAGGGGATGACGATTCGCCATACTGCAGTAGGAGAATGGAACAGCGCTGGGTGCTTAGTCCTGACCGCACATTAAGACTACCCACAGAGATTTTAAAAGCCCCCAAGTCTGGCCCACACCCCAGAATCTCTGAGGATGGGACCTTGGTGAATTTGAGAACGCCTGCCCCTGAGGTGTGGTTCTAGAACTCATTAAAGCATGGCCTGCTGATGCCATCAGTCGAGGGTAGGGTTTGCAGATTGCATGTTTATCTACAGAGTAGAGAGCTTGGTAGCTTACTAAATGGACAAGAGATTGCCTGCCTGTGGTTATATATCAGTATAAGTTATTGACTGGTGTGCTCAGTCCAACTCTGACAGCCAGGTGTCTCGTCTGGACCACACACTGGTTTTTGGCTCCGAGGCGCCGGAATGGACGGGTGTATTAAGCTAGGCCTCTTGGTTTCAAGAGAGAAACCCAATTTGAAGTTTAAGGGGTTGGATCGGGGTGAGGAGGCACACCTGAACCAGTACAAGCCTCTATGGGTTTCTCAGCCCTACGTCCTATGGGTTGGGTGGGCTGTGTGGTAAGATCTATTCTTGGAGTGGTCCCCTCAGCACCTTCCAGCCTTTGCAGCTTCTGTGGAGAGACCCAAGACCCAGGTCAGACCGGCCCAAGTCGGCTCGTGTGCCCATCTCTGGCCTGCCAGGCCTGTGTCCTGTGCCCCCTGCTAGAATGTTTAAAGGGTCAGGAGCCGGGAACGATGCTGGACAGGAACAACCAACAGTGGTTCTCATCAGTTTGTGAGACGTTCCTTTGATCTGGCCCTGGGTAAGGCACTCAGGAGGCCTCTCTCCAGCCTCCAGGGCCTGGAGCGGAGCCACCACTTCCTCACGGGCTGGTGTCCGACACCGCTGTGCATGTGTTTTCCATTATTTCCTCGGTCAACATGTGCTCACTGATTGCTGCATCCCAGGCTCTGCAGAGATGGGAACTCTCTGTGTTCAGTTTGCAACATATGGAATTATTTCCATACATCCGAGCCTCATTTCTTTTACAGGGCTGAAGGGTGTTTGAGGCCCTGGTCCTTGCTGTTCCTCTTGGCTTGTTGTGCATGTGGTTTTATACTGGGCTCAGATCTGCTTGAATTCTGGAGCAGGATGCAGTCTGTGGGCTGGCAGGTATAGGAGGGTAAGACAAGGGCAGTTTGCAGGAGGCTCTGGGCCTGAGGAGTCAGCCCCTATCTGTGAGAACAGTGGCTGGTTTCCGGTAGAAACCAAAGACTGTTCTCTTGTTTTGTGCTCCCAAAATCTCAGAGCCGCAAGATTGCTTCTTATAAAGCCCATTGGCTGGTAGGGGAAAGAGTGTGTTCCTAAGGGAATACTCGCTGAAACATACCATACTCTTGGAACCATATTAATCCTCTATCTACCGCCTGAGAATTTCCTGAATATACAATAATGTAAGAATTTTATTTTTAATAAAAGGTAGAATACATATTTTACATCGTACTCTAGTCTGTCTATCTATCTATCTATCTATCCATCCCACTCTCTATCCCTCTGGTGACCTAGTCCATATTGAGTTGTGCAACGAATGCCTTTCTGGCAGTTTGAATCCACCAACAGCTCCACAGGAGAATGATGTGCACTTTCCTCCTGTGTGATGTACAGCCTCCCAGAAACTGGCTTGAGGGTCCAGCTATCAGTCGGTTCTGACTCACAATGGCAGTGAATTTGAGTGTCTATATGTACACGTGCTTACATCCATAGATAGAGAGGAATGGAAGGTTATTATAGACTATGTATGTTACCTTTCTAAAAAAAATACACTTTGTAAGTGTTGATCACACTCAAAGGAGGCGGAGCACATGAAGGCTGCGGCATGGGCTTATAATCATTTTCAGCATCGACAGGAGACTGCTACAGTTTGTGCCCAGGCCCATCCATTTAGCATCTATCTTTGCAACTGTTCGTCAAGCGCTTGCTGTGTCTCAGCTTGGAAACTAGACAGTGAGCCAGTAGGGACCTTATTGCTACTTCGCGGAGCAGCTGAGGACTGAACCATGGTCATCTCCACAATGATACGCTCAGCTCCAGGGCCCCGGGAGGACCTGCCCCAGCTTACCTGATTTCTTAAACCGGTTATGTGGCCAGAGCTGAGCTTTCGTAATCACTTCTCTTGTCCCTCTTACCAGAGTGGGGGTGGTGGGGGTGGTGTGCATCTGTCCTGGAGGACAGAATGGCGTGAATGTCATCATAAAGACCTGAGAACAGCCCGGAAGGGGTCAATCACTGGACTCAACCACCCCCTCCTCCACGCAGGCCAGTGTAAGCCTCGCTGCTGTTTGTGACTGTGGAGGAAGGGTGACCTGGCTGAGTGGTTGACCCCTTCAGGCTTGTTTGCCTGCTCTTTATGACGTCCTGTGCCATCCTGTCCCCCAGCACAGATGCACACACCCCCCTCTGGTAAGAGGGCCAAGAACGTGTCTGTGAGCACACTTCTCTTTCCATATAGCCAGCTTAATAAGTGAGCCAGCGAGCGGGGACTGGCTCTCCTGGGGCCTCACAGCTGGCCACATGGTGCGGAGTTAACCGGGGTGAGTGGACACTTAGGGTCTTGCGAGAAGGCAGGACATCTAACTGATTCTGTGTGGGATTGCAGCCTAACTGTTGGCTTTCTTACGGATGTTTTAGGTCAAGTGCAAAGCAGAAAGTGCATCGAAGACGTGATCCACTTTGCTTGGGAAGAGAAGCTCTTTCTTCTGGCGGATGAGGTAAGAGTGGCCCCAGCTTTCTCCTCGAGACGGGTGAGAGGTGAGCTTTCTTCCCCAGTGAGAGGGAGGCTAAGCCCTCTTTTTTGTTCTGTGGCCAAGGGCCAGGTACTTAGTTCTCAGACCCAGGAGGTGATGCTTAAATTAACCCTATTTTGATTTGTACACTTGGCTAGGAATCTTAGAACCTTAGCCCAAGCCATAGTAAACATAAAAAGAAGGAAAGATGGTGAGGGTCACAGGTGGCGAGGGACTCAGCATTTTTTTCTCTTTCCTTTTTCAAATCTTATTTTTGAGATAATCTCTCATCACGTATCTCTGCATAGGCCTCCTATATGCAGCCTGCTCTCATCTGAGCCTAGAAAGAGAACCTCTGTTCCTTGTGGTTCCGGCCGAAGTCCCAGATTGCGTCTCCCAGATGCAGCTTGGGCCACACACCCACTCCTAAACCTGTCACTTTTGCTGATAGGACATAATATGCAAATTGGCCAGATGAGTCATGCTATCAACCCAAAGGTCGTGCCTCTCTGGAGTTCAAATTCAAGTTCACCAGTGGCTCCGCTGCAGAAAGACAAGCAGCCTCCTCCTGTGCAGCTCACACACAGCCTCACAAACCCGCCGCAGGGTCAGCTGTGAGCCGGAACCGACCCCACATCAGCGGGTTTAAGTTCTGTTTTTGGAGAGCATTGGCTGGCAGGGTCGCTGCTCTGTGCTCCCAGACCTCCAGATGGCGAACGAGGGAGAGGTTTTCTCTGAGGGCAAATCCATGTCGGGAGAGAGACAGTCGGGAGGGCTGACACTCATCCCTCAGCGCCTGCGCTTCTGGCTCCTGAGCGCTCCCACTCCCCCATCTCACTCACTTCTCAAAACTGTCTTGAGGGGAGAGATCTTCATACCCACTTTGCCCAGGAGAGAACAGTGCTCAGAGGTTTATGAACCTTACTTCTGGAACCACGGTCTACCAGTTCCTGTCCTCCTCTATAATGAAGCCTCGTCCGATCCCATTTTCTGTTCATCTCCCTTTCGGCGTGCTATCTTTTAGCACAAGTGCGCGCGCACACACACACACACACACACACACACACACATTTGCAGATGGACCACGAACTTTTATTTCTCAAGGCAAATAGGGAAGCAGAGTGAACAGAGGGCTGTACTGGAGCCTGGTGCATCTGCCCTCCCCTCCAGGTGGGGAGGAGGAGGGAGGACTCTGCCTGGCACCCCACCGAGGGCTGCCCTCCAGAAAGAAAGCCTGGTTCCCTGTCCCCCAGAGTCAGGGCAGAGGTCATCTAGCAGGCAGAGGCTCTGTGAGTGTGAGAGGGGGACAGGGGCAAGGAAGACAGGGTGGGTGCTGCTTGCATGTTTAGAATCTGGGGGAAACATCTGCGGAGTGTGGGCAGGAAAGCAGGCATTCCAAGCTGGAGTGTGTTGTAAGGGAAACCCGGAGGGGCTGCAGGAACCGCAGGTCACGGTGCAACAGCTGCTCCTTATGATTAGTGTTATTGATGGATATAAACACTGCACGCGGGAAGAAGATTGGCTTAGATTGCTGAGAGGCCCTGATGATGTTGCAATTGACAGCGGAGGTTGATGAGGGAGAGAATAGTTTAAAATTAATATATTTTAGGGCATTATGATTATCCTAAGAGTCCGGAATGAAGGTTGCAGAGTGGAGTATACTTGGGGGTGGGGTGGGGGTATGCAGGGTTGGTGGGGGATTGTGTACCAATGAAGGAGTTTTTCTTTTGCTTTTCAAGGAGAGGAGCAAACTGGGGGGGGGGTGGGGGTGGGGGGGGGGTGGATGGGGAGAAAAGTGCAACAATGAATGAATGGAATTCCAAAATCTCTGTAGATGTTCATTGAAATTAATAATAATAATAATAATGAAAGTTTAAAAAAAAAGGACATCTGGAAACTGGATGGGAATGAGTGTGGGAGGTATCAAGTGGGCCCCGGGGATTCCTTCAGCACAGCATCCAGCCTTTCCGCCTGCTTTGTTCGGGAAGCTTCCTCCAGGCGTGCTCTGACGTGTTCTGACTTACTCGTGGAGGGGGCTTCAGGGGCTGGGTCTGACTGAGCCCCTGTGTCCTCCTCCCTCCGCTGGGGTGGGAGACTTTGTCTGCGACAGCCTCTCAGGAAGAACTTGGGCTGACCTGGCTGCGTTCCCCTGCAGGTATACCAGGACAACGTGTACTCTCCCGACTGCAGATTCCACTCCTTCAAGAAGGTGCTGTACGAGATGGGGCCAGAGTATTCCAGCAACGTGGAGCTGGCCTCGTTCCACTCGACCTCCAAGGGCTACATGGGCGAGTATGTCGACCACCTGCCTCCCCTCCGTGTGCCTCTCTCTACCTCTCGGGCCAGTCTGGTCCCGCTGCTGCTGTCTCCTCGCTGCCAACTGCTGCTCTGCCTGCCTTACCATTAGCCCTGGTACACAGGAGAGACGAACCCCCTTACCTGTTGCTTGTGCTGATCTAAGAGCAAAAACAGGCTGCATCTCCCCAAGAAAGATGCTCAGATAACCAGGAAGTGCAGACTGCATTTAGAAGCTGCTTTGGTCTCATTCATCTAATACTTAATGAGCATCTACTTATTACTGAGTCCTTATCTTAGCCTTGAGAGTGCAATAATGAACAAAACCATATCATCTCCGCCCTTAAGGAGCTTAAGTTCTGGTGAGGGCAAAGATCGGTCAAACCTTGTGTTAGGTGGCGTAAATCGTTAGGAGGAGGTGGAGGGAGAGTCACAGGCTTACATCGCTCAGCTTTACCTGCAAGACAAGACTGAATAGAGGAGGCGAGGTGGGAAGGTGAGGGAAAGCATTCTAAGCAGAAGTAACTGTGTGGAGAGGCCTGAGCCGTGGAGAAGCAGCAAGGAAGCCTCTGTGAATGTGCAGGAGGGGAAATGTCAGAGGTTAAGACCAAAGGAATAATGCTTTTGTTATGTTATGTACCACTGAGAGGGAACCGACTCATAGCTGAAGCTCCAGTGGGTGGTGGTGGTGGTGGTTGTTAGGTGCCGTCATTTCAAGTACAGCTCATTAGTGACCCTGTGAACAACAGATCTGAACCCTGTTCTCTCCTGCACCATCCTCACACTTCCTGACACACTAGGGCCCACTGCGGCAGTCACCGTGTCAATCCACCTGGTTGAGAGCCTCCCTCACCACCAACTCTCCACCCTCCCTAGCTTCATGTCCCTCTCCAAGGAACAGCCCCTCCTAGCAACATCCTTAAACATGCTCTAATATGCTTTTCTCCAACACCACAGCTCAAAGGCGTCAGTTCTTTTTCTGTCATCCCTGTTCATTGTCCAGCTCCCACATGCATAGCAAGGTATTGGAAAGACCATATTCTGAATCAGACACTCTTAGTCCTCAAACTGTCATTATTACTCCTCAATAATTTGGAGTGGTCCCTCACTGCAGCCTTTCTCAGTGGGTTTTTAGAGGCAATAAATCAAACAGGAGGCAGAAGGTCTGGTGCATTCAAACTGAGAGCCTTTGTGTTGGCAGGGCAACTCCTTCCCTCTAAGCCACCAGAGCTCCCCAAAGACATAATAGAAGACCGTGTCATCTGGGCCATTGAGGTTATTTTTCACTTTTACTCAGAGTGAGGTGGGAGCCAGAGGAGGAGTTTGAGCACAGTAACTTCATCTGCCTGTTTTAGTAGATTATTTCTGGATGTTGTGACTGAGGCAGAGACTCAAGTCCTGGGCTCTGTAATAAGCATTCTTGGCAAGGTGATTCCATCGAAGACCAGGGTGGAGATGATGACAAGTTGTTGGAGCCTGGCTGTGTTTAAAAGTGGAGTTGATAGGAGTTGCTGATGGAATGTCTTTCGGATGTGAGAGACAGAAGAGTTGAGGATACTTTGTTTAGATTCCTGGAAGGATGGAGTTGCCGTCATCTGAGACAGGAAAGGCTGTGGGTCGTAACTGTATCTAACAAACTCAACTTGTTAAGCACCATCACGTCATCTGCGACTCATAGCTGACTTCCAGTGGGTTTTCAGACTGTGAATCACAGAGGATTGCCCATTTTTCTCCCACAGGGCAGCTGGTGGATTTAAACTGGCTACCTTTTGGGTTGGCGGCACAGCTTCTTACCACTAGGTCACCAGAACTCCCTGAAACTGAACTTGACATGTTCTTATATTAAAGAAGCATTTTAAAAAAATTGATACTGGTAAAAAGTCCAGGAGTGTTGAGTTAGTGTCCAGGGCTTAAAGATGTCAGTGTAATCCTGGCTCTGCCTCCGCTGTCTTGTTCTCTCTCACAGTGCCGCTCTCCTTTGGGTCAACATTGCTTTCAGGCAGCAGAATTTATTTCAGGAAGAGTTTTCAGGTGGCTGCCCATTGGTACCAACCTATTGTGTGGCCAGGCCTGATCATGTGCCCATCTTTGCAGTAGGGGCAGGCGTTGGGGTTGGGGATTAGCTGTTGTAACAACAAGTCTCCAAAGCCCAAACAAAGTGGAGACATAGCTCTCTTTGGTATAACCACTGATGGTAGGGGCAGGTCAGGGTGACCTTTCTCCACAAGGTCATTGTAGAACTTGGGCTGGTGGGAGGGCTCTGCCTCTCAAGACGTCATATCCATCTCAAGTTTGCTGTCAGTGTCTCTGTTTCTCAGGAACTGAGATACGGAAATGCTGTGGAGTTTGTATGTATCATTTTCTTTCTGGCCACTGAGTAGGGTTGGTTACAGAAGGTTCCAGCAGGCTGGGTTGCTCTTAGCTGAGCTCACTCTGACACTGGTGGGTTTTCTCTCCCTCTCTTCACCCCCACCCCCCAGGTGTGGCTACAGAGGAGGCTACATGGAGGTGATCAACTTGCACCCTGAGATCAAGGGCCAGCTGGTGAAGCTGCTGTCTGTGCGCCTGTGTCCCCCTGTCTCAGGACAGGCCGCTATGGACATTGTTGTGAACCCCCCAGTTCCAGGAGAGGAGTCCTTCGAGCAGTTCAGCCGGGTCAGTCTGCTATGTCCCCAGGCCTGTCAGTGTTCATTGCAGTGGCCAGGGCCACAAGTGAATTCTGCAAAGGCCATTAGCCAGCCCTCTTCACATGGCCAGGTGCCTGCCTCCCAGGACTCCAGGGACCGCTCTTGAGTCCCTCATGGTCCCTGCGTCCACTAGCAGGCGGGGGAGGTTGGTCCGAGGATGCAGCTGGACTGTGCTCTAACATGGGAGGTCTGTGGCTGGAGAGGGAAGGGCTATTAGCGCTCTGAAAGTGCAGCGAGCATGTATGTGTCCTGTTCCTGGACTAAAGGAAACGGGGACGGGCTTGGTAGGCACAGCCCTGCTTCTGCCAAACTGAGTCCTCACAGATAGATGCAGTTCAATCAGACCTGTCCAATTCATGAGGAAAAAGAAAATTAACCAAAATTGTTACTAGTTGAAGTTTGAAGCTGTCAGTGATTTTGTTTTACTTGGCTCCACAGTCAACACCCATGATAGCTGCAGTTACATGGGGGAAATCCACTATCAGGGACCTCTCCAAAGTGCTAAAGAGCAAGGATGTCAGTTTAAAGACTGAGGTGCACCTGATCCAAGCAGTGATATTTTCTGTTGGTTCCTATGTGCATCTGAGAGTTACACAGTGAATAAGGATGATAGAAGAAAAGTCGATGTCTTTGAATTGGGGTGTTGGAGAAGAGTATCGAATATCCCGTGGACTGCCAAAAGAACAAACAGATCTGCCTTGAAGAAAGTGCGACCACAGTATACCTTACAGGCAGGGGCAGTGAGATTTTGTCTCATGTGCTTCGGGTATATTTTCAGGAGGAAGCAGTCCTTGAGGAAAGACATTAAGCAGAGAAAAATAGAGGATTAGTGAAAGAGAGGAAGACCCTCGACAAGATGGATTGATACAGTGACTGCAGCAATGGGCTTGGGCGTGAAAAAGATGGTGAGGATGATACCGGACAAAATGAGGTTCAGAATGGTGGTTTATAGGATCACTGGGAGTCGACTTGATGGCACCTAACAGTGATGATTTTACATTTGGGTGTGGTTTTTTTTGTTTTTTGGGTTTTTTAAAAATTTTATTTTATTTTATTATTTTGTGTGTGTTTGTGTGTGTACCGTCAAATCAGATCTGACTGGTACAGGAGGAGATTATTCCTCCTTCTCCAGCAAAGCATCTGGTGGATTTGAACTGTGCACCTCTGGGATTACAGTACATTTGGGTTTTTTTTTTAAATTGGAATTTATAGGTCAAATATAACCAGACTGAGAAGCTGTTGCCGGAATACCCTCAGTGGTTTAAAACAAGAAAGCGTGTATCAGGTATTTCTCCATACCTATTCAATCTGCATGCTAAATAGATCATCCAAGAAGCTGGTGAAGATTTGGCATCAAGATCAGAAATCAACAACCTTCATTATGCAGAGGACGCAACCTTGCCTGCTAAAAGGGAGGAGAGCTTAAAGCCCTTATTGCAGAAGGTCAAAGACTACAGCCTTCTATATGGATTCCATCTCACATCAGGAAAACAAAAGTCCTCACTACCAGGCCAATAGGCAACATCATGATAGACAGAGAAAAGATTGAGGTTGTCAGTGATTTCATCTTACTTTGATCCACAATCAACACCCTTGGTACTGTTGTTATGTGCTGTCAAGTCGCCAGCGACTCATAGAAATCCTATATACAACAACTCTGAAGCATGTCGTGTCCTGAGCTGGTCTCACTGACACACCTACCCTCATTGCCCCAGTCACTGTATCAGTCCATCTCATCAAGGGTCTTCCTTGCCTATGCTCTTCCTCCAACCTTCCAAGCATGATGTCCTTCCCCAGGGACCGATCTCTCCTGCCCACGTGCCCAAAGTACTAGTCAGGAAATTAAAAAGACATGTTGCACTGGGAAAGTCTGCTGTCAGGGAGATGAAGGTGCACCTGATCCAAACCATGGTCCCTTCAGTTACTTGCTATGCATCTAAAGTTGGACAGTAACAAATAAGAACCAATGGCTTTGAGTTGTGGTGTTGGAGAAGAGTCATGACTGTCCCATGGACTGCCAAGAGGACAGAACGGTCTGTCCTGGAGAAAGTGCAACCAGGGTGCTTCCTGGAAGCAAGGACACCGAAGCTCTGTGTCCCATACTTTGCACATGTTGTTAGGAAGGGCTGGTCCTTGGAGAAGGACATCATGCTTAGAAAGATGAAGGGTCAGCCTAAGAGAGGAAGACCCTCAACAAGATGGATTGACAATGTCAGAGGGGATGAGATGGCACAGGACAGGGCAGGGCTCGGAGCTGTTGTTCATAAGGTTGTGATAAGTTGTTGTTATTGCGGCAGCGCATAACAACAACGTAATCAAGAAGATAATAAACAGCAGAAGGTAATCCCACCTGTTCCAATCTCCCATTTTCCTGGCAGTACCTGTAGTTGTCCTGGGCTGACCGCTCTAGTTTTGGGCTCGTCCACTCTGAGCTGTCACTGACTGGTGTCTGGGTTGTGTGCCCGACAGCACCTTCTGACTGAGTGAGAAGTTGTTGTTACCTACCGTGGAGTTGGAACTGACTCATAGCTGACCTTCCAAGGTGTTTTCAGAGGCAGTAAATCGCACGGGAGGAGGTTGCCCACCCGTCTCCCGCAGAGCAGCGGGTGGATTCTAACCGCATGCCTTTGGGTTGGCGGGGCAGCTTCTTAGCACTAAGACACCAGAGTTCACCCTACACGCACTGCACAGACGGGTGGACCCTTAAAGAGAAAGGTAGAAACTCAACAAAAGAAGGGGAATAAGCATTTTCTAGAGTGTTCTGTGAAAAGCCATGCACACAGTATAAAACCTAGGACCAGGTCCGTTCACACTGTTTTTTCTCATTTTCAGGAGTGATGTTGGGGCCCTACAGCCTGGAACATCTCATCCATTGAGTACACTGCCCATACCCCACAAACCAGATCAGCCACCAGGCCAATGTCAAGGAAGACATTCCTGCAGGACAGACATTTCTCCACACTTCCCTGGTTCACTGTGGGCCTGTCTCACAAACAGGCCATTCTCCAGCCTGACCAGTCACCCTAGCTGTTGAAGGGACACTTGTTTGTAGCAGGAACAGTTTTTATCACAATATGCTAACTCCCATACTTCCTTATCTCCACAGGAAAAGGAGTCTGTCCTGAGTAATCTGGCCAAAAAGGCAAAGCTGACAGAAGACCTGTTTAACCAAGTTCCAGGAATTCACTGCAACCCCCTGCAGGGAGCCATGTACGCCTTCCCTCGGATCTTCATCCCCGCCAAAGCCGTGGAGGCAGCGCAGGTCTGGGGCTGGCTCCTGGGGCTTGGCATGCGAGGTGGGGTCTTACTGCTTCTTGTTTAGAATGCAGAGGTGCTGGCCGCATGTCTAAACCATGGACTCATCACTCCAGCAAATGGTTCCTGCTTAGAGACCCATGGCTCTTGCAGGAACAACCTTGCAGGGCACCATCATGGTCAGATAAAGGTAAAATGCTCCTGCAAGTGACGCTGGTGGCTCTCTTAGCACAAGTCCCCCAAGGGAGGCACTCGTTATTCTGGGATGTCTTTAACCCTTAAGCGATGCTGGGCTGCACCAGTTCCTCCCCAGCCTCCTGGACCGGGAGCAGTGCTCCCTGGGGGCGTCTTCACGGGCTGATTCGGCTTCAGTATGTCTGTGACGGGCCCGAGTTCCTGCACTGCTGACAAGTTCTCAGGACCCTGCGGACTTGAGGAATAGGGGCCAAAAGTGTCTTCACACCATGCTCAAACCCTCCGAATATTTTTTGTTTTTATTTTATATTGGTTTATTTACAAAGTTGCTATACATTGTGTTTCCCACTATTCTTCATTCACATTGTGTTTCATATAATCATTCCCATTCATTATGGTTGGGGTTTTTTTT